GTTTTCCAGAAGGAGATCATAATAGAGGACTCCCTTCCAATCCCACCATATATACAACTTCACCTTCTTTGGATGAAGACCAGGCTTTGGTGTGGTTGCTGGTGGATTATTTTCCTTGCCCCATGATCTCTTCTGTTCCACATTATTGTACAGTATCTACTTTTCATCACCCGTCACAATTTGTTTTAAAAACGTAACATTTTCGTTACGTTTAAGTAGAGACTCGCATACGAAAATACGTAGGTTTTTTTGCTTAACTTATGTGGAAACCAAACATCAAAGCGATTAACATAACCAAGCTAGTGCAAATGATTCTCAACTCTTGATTTGGATATTTTGAGTATGTCGGCTATCTCCCGTGTGGTGTAACATTGATTGTTCTCAATTAATGTCTCGATTTGATCGCTATCAACTTCAACTAGTCCGACCATGTAGCATCATCCAGTGAGAAATCTCCAGCATGAAACTCGGCAAACCACTTTTGACACATTCAATCAGTCACAGCACCTTCTCCATACACTGCACAAATCTTTCTTTGTGTTTTAGTTGCGTTTTTACCTCTCTTGAATTAATAAAGCATAATATGCCGGAAATGTTGCTTTTTTTCTTCCATCTTCAACATTAAAATGGTTACACAAAAATTCACCAATTTTGATAAGTTTTTTAAAAAATGCATGATGATATGACAGCTGTCACAGTGCAATCTAACAAAATTCAAAAACAAAACTTTGAATGAAGTTAAAGACAACTAAGAGATACTAGAGCCATCTTATAGAAAAAACCGAACTCTTTGGCCAGCCCAATATTTCTATATATCAGCAATGAACACATGGACAACAAAATTTTAGATGCAATACCACTTATACTTGTGCAAAATAAAAATTAAATACTTAGGTGTAGGTCTAACAAAATATGTAGAACACATATGCAGAAAACTACAAAACACTGATGAAATAAATCAAAGGCTTATATAAATGAAGAGACTGTGTTCATGGACTGGAAGATTCAGTGTTGTTAACAAATCAGTCCTTCACAAACTGAAATGTAGATTTAACCTAATTCCTATTAAAATACCAAGAACATTTTCTGTAATATAGACACTACTACTCTAAAATCTATATGGAGGGACTTCCCTGGTGGCGCAGAGATTGGGATTCCACGGTCCCAGTGCAGGGGGTCTGGGTTCAATCCCTGGTCGGGGAACTAGATCCCACATGCATGCCACAACCGGAAGTTCACATGCCAGAGCTAAGGAGATGGCGTGCGCAACTAAGGAGCCCTGGAGCTGCAACTAAGGAGCCAGCAAGCTGGAACTAAGGAGCCCGTGAGCCACAACTAAGACCCGGAACAAACAATTAATTAATTAATTAACTATTAAAAAATAAAATAAAATCTATATGGAAAGGCAAAGGAATTAGAATAGCTAAAATAATTTATAAAAAGAAAAATAAGGACTTCTCTGGAAGTCCAGTGGTTGATACTTCGCCTTTCAATGCAGGGGGTGTGGGTTTGATCCCTGGTTAGCAAGCTAAAATCCCACATGCCTCACAGCCAAAAAAACAAAACATAAAACAGAAGCAATATTGTAACAAATTCAATAAAGACTTTTAAAAAATGGTCCACATCAAAAAAATCATTAAACATTTTTTTAAAAAAGAAGAAAGTGGGAAGAATCAGCCTACCCAATTTCAAGATGTATTATATAGCTTCAGTAATCAAGACTGTGTGGTATTCGAGGATGTACGAATACACAGAACAATGGAACAGACTAGAAAACCCGGAAATTGACCCCAAAAAATACACTGAAATGAATTTTCACAAAGGTGCAAAAACAATAATGGAGAAAGTATAGCCCTTTAAACAAATGGTGCTGAAGCAAATGGACATTCATAGGGAAGGGAACAAAATCCTCTACCTAAACATGACACTTTATACAAAAAAATACCTCAAAATGGATTAAATAAAAAATGGAAAACTATAAAACTTTTACCAAGAAAAAAAAACATAGGTGTAAATCTTTTTTAGTTCTAAGATTAGACCAAGAGTTCTTAGGCTTGACATCAAAAGCAGTATATGTGAGGGACTTCCCTGGTGGTGCAGTGGTTAAGAATCCACCTGACAATGCAGGGGACATGGATTTGATCCCTGGTCCAGAAAGATCCCACATGCTGCGGAGCAATTAAGCCCACAACTACTGAGCCTGCGCTCTAGAGCCTGTGAACCACAACTTCTGAGGCCCACGTGCCTAGAACCCATGCTCCGCAACAAGAGAAGCCACTGCAATGAGAAGCCCGCGCACCGCAATGAAGAGTAGCCCTTGCTCACTGCAACTAGAGAAAGCCCGCACGCAGCAACGAAGACCCAACGCAGCCAAAAATTAGTTAATTAATTTTCTAAAAAATCACTATACATGAAAAGAAAACTTGATAAATTGGACCTCACCAAAAGTTAAAACTTTTGTTTTCCAAAAGATTCTAAGAAGTTAAAAGACAAGCTGCAAACTGAGAGAAATACTTGGAAACCACATATCTGACAAAGGTCTAGTATCTAGAATATATAAAGAAATCCCAAAACATAACATTAAAAAACAAAACAAAACAAAAACACACCAAACAATTCAACTAGAAAATGAGCAAAAGAAATGAACAGACATTTCACCAAAATGGATATACAGATGGCAAAGTACATGAAAAAAATGTTCAACATTATTAGCCATTAAGGAAGTGGAAATTAAAACCACAATGAGATATCACCACATGTCTATCTGAATAGCTAAAATTAAAAATAGTAGTAACACCAAATGCTGGCTAGGATGCAGAGAAACTGGATCATTCATATATTACTGGTGGGAATGTAAAATGTTATAGCCACTCTGGAAAACAGTTTGACAGTTTCTTAAAAAACTAAACATGCAATTACCAAAGGGCAGGTGCACTGAGCAATTGCACTCCTAGGCATTTATCCCAGAGAAATGAAAACTTATGTTCACACAAAAATTCTACAGAAGTTTCCATAGCAACTTTATTTGTAATAGACAAAAAGCTGAGGCAACCCAGATATTCTTCAATGGGTGAAAATTTAAACAAACTGGTACATCCATACCATAGTAGTAAAAAGGAACAAACTATTGAAACACACAACTTGGATCTCCAGAAAATTATGTTGAGTAAAAAAAAAGCCAGTCCCAAAAGTTTATATACTGTATACTTCCATTTATATAAAATTCTTGAAATGACAAGATCCTAAAAATGGAGAACAGATTAGTAGTTGCTAGGAGTTAAACAGGGAGTGGGGGGGCTGGAGTGAAGTGGGTGTGGCTACAAAAGTGCAACATGAATGATCTTCAAGGTGATGGAAATGTTGTCTTGACTGTATTTGTCAATATACTGGTTGTGATACTGTACTACAGTTCTGCAAAATGTTATTGTTAGGGGAAATGGGGTAAAAGATACACAGGATCTCTGTGCTGTTTTTTACGATTATGTATAAATCTACAATTACCTCAAAAAAAAAAAAAGCCTTTGCCTCGGGTCAACTGTCCTTCCATATACTCGGCTAGTCTGGATCATCCATTTAGCTCAAACTGCTCACTCTAGCTCCTTCCTCTCAAAAGATACCACCACCACCAAACATTTACTGGGCATTTGTTATGTGACAAAGAACTTTATGTACTAACTTTATGCGCTAAGAACTTTACATGTACTAACTCATTTAATCCTCATAACAAATAACTTTGAATTCTGTTTTTCATAGGACGTAGCAGCCTCAGACACCACTCTACTTCATCCTCATCCATCCACTCCTTTTTTTCCCCTTCCTTTGATAATGAAAAGAAGGGTCCATTCCCCAAATTAAGGGCAATCCTTTCACTTAAGCACTGGATCATTCCTTCTCAGGGTCCTAACTCCATCCAATATCCTCTTTCTTGCGTTTTGAACCCCTGCCTTTCAACTACCTCTATTCTGTCTGAATTTAGGTATGTTCACAAATCCTTCTATCAGTTAAAAGATAAATAAATAAAAAACGTCCCCCAACCTTACTAAGCATCAGCCATTCTCACTCCTCTTAGCCACTTTTCTTAAGAATTGTTCCCATTTACTCTTTCTAATTCCTTAACTTCTATTTAGTTAACTTCCATTTAGTTCTCCAACCGCGACAACTCAGCTTCTGCTCCTACTCTATGAAAGCCTCTAACTTCTTTCCAGCATTTGACACCACTTCCCATTCCTTAATCTAAACTCTCTCTTGCTTGGGCTTCTCGGACATCACCACGCTGTAAGAGCTGAGGTAAGTGACACAGTTGACCTAAAAAGAGGGAAACAAAGTAGGGCATGCGAATGGCAAAGAAAGCAAAGGTGAGTGGAGGTTGCTACTCTTTGAGAGGGAGCTTGGGGGACAAGAGGCAGAAAGGACCACAGTGGGCATTAAAACAAATCGACCGTGACTTTCACCCTCACCTTCACCCTCTTTCTCCCCACTTCCTTCAAGGACCTGACGGTACTCAAGGAAAAACTAGACAGTAGTGGCCACGCGACAGGTGGCGGGAGCCGGCCCCTGCGGGGCGAGAAAAGCGGGCTTTCCTGCGGGTGCCGACCGCACCGCTGTGGAGGTGAAAGAAGCGCTCGGCGGCCATCGGAACCCGTTCGCGGGGCCGCGGTTGCAGCTCGGCGTGGGGCCGCTAGACGGCGGACGCGTGTGCGCGTGCGTGACGGCGCTTCCGGTCCCGAGCGAGGCGAGAGTATCCTGTGGAAGGGCGGAGACGCGGCATGAAGAGCCCTCGGCGACTCCAGTCCAGTATCAGCGCGGGGTACCCTGGAGGCGGACCGAAGGCTGGTCGAGGACTCTGCCCACCGCTGACGCGGGGAGGAGAGCGAGAACCGCCTGAGCCGGGTGTACCTTTCGCGCCCTGCGTTCCCAGCCTGGCTCTCAGCCCGCGGCCCTGAAAAGGAGGCGGGGGATCGGAGTTGGCGGGGAGATCCAGGTGAAGTAGGTTTCTCTGCAGATCCAGCGCCGTTAAACCCTGCGAACGCACACTTTTTAAAACATGAAGAAATTAAGGCTTAAGGAACTAGAGAGTCGCCTGCAACAAGTGGATGGATTCGAAAAGCCCAAGCTCCTTCTAGAACAGTATCCAACCAGGCCGCACATTGCAGGTAGGGCGGCAGCTGACCATGCCCATGTCTCGCAGGTTAGTCCTGTCTACTCACTCCATTGTGAAAATAGAAGTTATTTGGATACAGAGAAAGTCTAGAGGAATTCTGCTCTAAGATTTCATGTTGCGTTAGAGAGGACTTCCTTGACATTGCACCTGAAAACATCCCAAGCATGAGACACTCTATCGTTTTACTGTTTGTTTTTCTGCATACCCCTCAACACTGTCAGACACTTTTTAATGTGTTTGTTAATCTTATTACACTATTAACTCCTTGAGGGCAAAAATGTGCTGGTCTTGTTCACACAATTCCCAGAGCCTAGAAGAGTACCTGGTACCACTCAGGAGCTCAGTAAATACTTGCTAAATAAGGATGCATTTCCCGGTGTAACGAATTGCCAGTACGAGGATTCCTACGCTCTATACTCTGCCCTAGAAATGAATACTAGAGTTGGTAGTGGAAGGACTGAGTTTTAACAAATCCATAATAGGTGCTATATTAAATATGAGGATGCATTTCAATTTTAACAAATGATCAGAGAATCAGCAGTGTTGCTTGATGTGAGAGATTGATACTGGAAGTAAAAGAACACAGGAAAAACCATTTATATTTAATAAACATATTACCAAAGTCATTGAGGGAGTCTTAGGAAAATTAATTTTGTTGGGAACATCTGCAAGGAGGAGTCCCCCTAACTTCAACATAGTTCTGTTTCTAAGCTGCCAAAGTCAAGGAAAAAGTATACCTGCACTTACATATTGTCATAATTCTAACCAAAAATTGCACAAAATTGTGTCTGAAGTAAGACCAGTTATCTCAATTTAGATAATGATTTCTTTAATGTCTTCTTTAATGTCTTCTGGCTGCAGGGTTTCTTAGTGGAATCCTTTTTTTTTTTCCCAAATAACAATCAGTTGTTTCAAAGCTAGTGTGTATATGCTAATTCTTTGAGATACTAGCTTCAAAGTCACCAACACCTGCAGCAATAATCAGAACAGCACAGTCAGCCTGACACATCCCTGTAATTGTGTTTTTGATAAAACCTCTGGATCCTGGGGCATCAGTGATGGCCAGCAGCCCTTGGTGGGTTCAGATATCCACAGGGAGATATCAGTGAAGTTACTCATACTTAACCTTCAGTATAGCCCCAACCTTCGTGTATTTGAAAGATCCCTTTCTCATCTCAGCAGCTTCTGTTCTGCTCCTCAATAGTTCTCTTATCAGGTCTCATGAGTAGATACATGTGTCTGTAGATCATGAATATATGTGTGTGAATATATGCGTCTAAAGGCTATATTGTGGATGTAGGTCTTTTCCTTTCCCATTCTAGCTTGAACTTACAGTACCTGTGTTATGGTGACAAACTTGCTGCAAAAAAAGTTCTGTTTTAATGTTAATGCTTGTTCAGTATTAGTGGTTCCCAGACTTACAGATTTCAAAGATCAGTAAAATTTCACAACAATTTTGGAAACTGACATAGGGTTCCCAGATCTATATTTTGACAAGGAAAGATTTTCTTTTTTTTTTTTGCGGTACACAGGCCTCTCACTACTGTGGCCTCTCCCGTTGCGGAGCGCTCCGGATGCGCAGGCTCAGCAGCTGTGGCTCACGGGCCCAGCCGCTCCGTTGCATGTGGGATCTTCCTGGGCTGGGGCACGAACCCATGTCCCCTGCATCGGCAGGCGGACTCTCAACCACTGTGCCACCAGTCCAAGGAAGTCCAAGGAAAGATATTTTTTAAACCTATTTACTCTTACCATCCTTTCATAAAAGTGAAATTTCAACATCAAAGAAAAACTGATATATGTATATGTGTATGGCAATGTTTTGAACAGGTTGAGGAAAAATAAAACATTTTGACCTTATTTTTCTCATTTTACCACAAAGTTTTGTCATTCTTGGCATTGTCAGCAGAGACTAGTTTGGGGGAACCACTGGTATGTGTTATTATCCTTACTACATACCAAGTTATTATACCTTACTATTTTTTTAATAATCTGGAACACGATTTAGGGGAGGTCTAAATAATGAAAGATAAGAAATTGTTTTTCAAAGAGTCATTTGCACAAATTGGATTTTGTTCATCAACTTGCCTACTTATTCCTTAATATGTTTTTTTTGATCATTCAGCATGTATGCTCTATACAATTCATAACACATATGATGACATTGAAAATAAAGTGGTTGCAGATCTAGGATGTGGCTGTGGAGTGCTTAGCATCGGAACTGCAATGCTGGGAGCAGGGTATGTGATCCAGTACATACTATTTGGGTATGGGATGGTTTTAATAAGAAGAGTAAATAAAATCAACTGACTTATATTTATGGGACTCTATAGTGTGAGATGAGAGGAGCAAGAATCTAATACTGAGTACATTTAGAATGGGCAGAACATCAAAACAAACTAAAAAAAAAACAAAAAACAGTAACAGCAGAAGTCATATGCCCCTCTTTTATAATGAACCTAAGTTTCCAACCCCTGACAGTTTGGGAAATCATGCTGTTAAAAGACAACACTCACTGTCACTTGGTCAGTTGGGTTAAAAAGGTACATGGTTTTGGTTTTGTTGTTGTTTTGACTGGGGAGCTTTAAGTAGTAATCACTTTGTGTTTTATATTTATAGGTTGTGTGTTGGATTTGACATAGATGAAGATGCATTGGAAATATTTAATAGGAATGTAGAAGAGTTTGAGTTAACAAATGTTGACATGGTTCAGTGTGATGTGTGCTCATTATCTAACAGAATGTCCAAGTCATTTGATACAGTAATTATGAATCCTCCCTTTGGGACCAAAAATAATAAAGGTTAGTAATAAGAATCATGTGTACTGGTGTCTTTGTAGAAAAGCAAGTTTTAAAAACCATTTTCTCATTGATTGTTTGTGTTAAGTGATTTTATCACTGTTCATTAAATAAACCAATCTCTTACCTGTATAGTTATTACAGTTTGAATTTCAGTTTGTTTAATGCATGGCTAGGGAATTGAATTTTTCAATCTTTGTTTTCATAAGTTTGTGCTAAGTGAACAAATTTATCCTTATTACTTTTTCTTCATCTGCTTTCTAGAATGATTTACCTAACCCTTATGAATATGAATCCTATAAAGGCTTTTATATTTTTAGAACCTCTTTTTAATGTCTCAACATTTGAAGGTTTCAACATGTGTCCATCAGTAACAGTGATTCACTGTGGCTATTTATTTTATGTATTTTGGGGGCAAGGAGGGTAAGAAGTCAGTAAGAAGAGGAAAAGACATGCATAGTTTAAAAAGTCCTCCCTCCACCTGCCCCCACCATTCTGATTACTACTTTACTTGTTCGCTTCTGCCCTCTTTGAAAGTTGTTAATTTGGAATATAATATTAAAATTTTTACTTTAGCCTTATTTAAATGGGATAGTATAATTCTGGTTTTATTCCATCAACCTTAAAAAATATTTAGATATCTTGGTTATTTGTACTCTGTCTTGTTACAGAAAGAATTTGAAATGGCTATTTTGGAGTTTGGAAAAAATTTCTAAATACCTAGTATTCCTTTAATCTTCTATTTTGATAACAGGTATATAATGCAAATAGGGGCTTTTTCTACTCTTAACAGGGACAGATATGGCCTTTCTGAAGACTGCTTTGGAAATGGCAAGAACAGCAGTATATTCTTTACACAAATCCTCAACTAGAGAAGTAAGTTCAAATCATCATAATATTCTGTGTCATTTATTTTTAAATTCATGACAGTATTTTAAGGATTTACTGTGAATACTAAATACCAGGGTATCTAATTCTCCAGAACTTTTAAAACATCTGGCACTTAGAAAATAAATTTTCCCTTTAACTAGCTAGCATTTGTGATTAGCTTTGTCAAAGGTTTGTTCAGGCAGGAGCTGTTAACAGGAGAGTGATTATATAATTCAGGAATAGAGGAGTAGGTGTAACGGTGGTTCCAGTATGTCCTGGTTTGCCTGCGTAAGCCCTGGTTGGTGCGTCCCAGTGTCCTGGTGTGGCCTGGTGTGCATAAGGGAGGCAAGGGCGGCCTGGTTTTTCAGAACACTGAGCCTGGGAGGCTAAACTGATCTGAGTTCAGAACCCACTTCTTCCATTGTTCTTCACTGTCAGCACATAACACATAAGACTGTGTAGGATGTATTCCAGAAAATTGGGGGTGGGGCGGTACCTTTTTTTAGTGTCAGTTTAACATAGTGATCAAGAACACAGACTACAGAGCCAGCCTACCTAGATTCAAATCTGAATTCTGCTGCTTCCCAGCTGTCTTATCTTGGTCAAGGTACTTGAGTTCATTTTCATCACCTACCCTGTACTCACCTATACTCTTACAGCATAAGGAACTAAGAGCACCTTATACTTTGCAGGGTTGGTGTGAGGATTAAATGAGTTAATATTTATAAAGCACTTAAATAGTGTCTGGCAATTGTCATGTTAGCTTTTATTTTAAATCAGACACATATTAAGAGATTTTAAAGTAGTTTGTAGGAAAAATATTTTATTTGTATAAATGTAGTGTACTGGAATTCAGTTGGAAACAAATTATGAATATATGGTAATCTAATAACCTTTAAAAATATATAAAAATTACATAGCTAAAAATATATACAGGCATACCTTGTTTTATTGTCATTTGCTTTATTGCATTGTGTAGATAATGCATTTTTTACAAATTGAAGGTTTGTGGCAACCCTGCATCAAGTAAGTCTGTCAGCATCATCTTTCCAATAGCATTTGCTTACTTTGTGTCTGTGTGTCATGTTTTGGTAATTCTTGCAGTATTCCCAACTTTTTTATTATATTTGTTATGGTGATCTGTAATCTTTGATATTACTATTATAATTGTTTTGGCATTGTTTAGCAATAAAGTATTGCACACTTAATAGACTACAGTATAGTGTAAACAGAACGTTTATATGCACTGGGAAACAAAAAAATTCAGGTGACTCACTCTTGTGATATTCACTTTATTGCGGTGGTCTGGAACCAAACCTGTAATATCTCCGAGGTATGCCTGTATACTGTTAAACAGTTAGTAGTGGTACCTGCAGGTAAGCAGCAGAACACAACATGACTTTACTGGTAAATAAATCCCCATTCAGTAAGTGAAAACAAACACCAGGAATTATTGGTATCTAAAAAGCCTGTGCTGTCCCCAAGATCATCTTCAGGTTTGATGATTCACAAGGAAGTCTCATAGGACTGAGCATATCGTCATACTCTTGACTGGGATTTATTATAGCTAAAGGATACAGAGCAAAATTAGCAAAGGGAAAGGTGCATTGGTCACAGTCCAGAAGAAACCAGGTGCAAGCTTCCAGAGTTCTCTCCCAGTGAAGTCATACAGGATGCACTTAATTCTTCCAGCAAAGAAGTTTTGTGACAAGGCATGTGAAATGTTGTCACCCAGGGAAGGTCATTGGAATCTTGGTGCCAAGGGTTTTTATTGGGTACTCATCACATAGGCACCCGCTGCCTGGCACATACCCAAATTCCAGACTCCCAGTAACAAAACAGGTACTCACCATAAACATTTTAAGCACAGTGAGCCACTATTATTAAGGGATGGGGAGTGGAAACTCTCCCAAAATCTAAGTTCCCATACTCTAGCCAAAGGTCAAACTTAACATGTAGACCTTTCTAAGGATAAGCAGTCAGGCCTGCTATGAACTCTTCTGCAGTTTGGCATAACGTAAATTTTATATTACTGATATACAGTTCATGCAAACCAAGTAAAATATGCCAATAAAAAGTGCAGTTAAGCAGCAAAGTCTAATTAATTGAATGAATTCCTGTAGTCAAGGAACTCCCATCTTCGCTGTTTGGTATTGCCATGTTCCACCACCAGGAGGCAGCAGTATCAGCATTGTCTTGATCCACTTAATAGAATTTGAAGCAAATATTTACGTAAGTCCATTTTTATTTTGGCAATGTAGAAGTATTTCCATTAGCACAGCAACTAAATAATTTGAGGAATTAATCTGGTGTGTACTGTGCATACTGTGAAGGAGGTATGATAATGAACTTCTAATACTAAGACAGTCCTTAGTTTATGCTGTAGATATATCTGCTCTAAGCTTTGTGATAATTTTGCTTGTTTTAAGTATTCTATATAACTAGTAACATTGTTATTGAAGCTGACCTCAGACCCCTTAACTGTAGACCGTTGTCTTTTAAAAGTGCGTGGCCCTCTATTCATAATAGAGGTGCATTTCATAGAATTTTTTGATAGAAATACTTAGGTAAAATATAAATGTATCTTGGCAGATATGTTAATAATCTGGATGACTCTTACAGCTGTTGCCATATCTTCTTTCATTAGGCATCGTGAGAATTTAGTTCTTGGCTTATAGTTAAAGCAAAGTAGGTAGGCCAGGCACTGTTCTTTCAGTGTTTATCCCAAGCTTATCCCATTTATTCTTTGACATCTCTGCCAGAACCAACCACATTCCATTGTATAATCTAACATCTAAAACCTCTTTCACTAATCTTAGGGCTCAGATAGCAAAGAAATGTCATCATACTTTATTTCTCAAAAATTTACCAAGGATCCTAGGATTCCATTAAATTATAATATTATTTGTATTAAAGTCTATATCCTTATACAGAAGTTTTAGATCTCAAAGTAGGGGGAAAAATATGCCCAGAACTGGGATTATTTATTAAATTCAAGAACAGACTACAAGCACAAACATATTATCAGTATTGTTTATAATGGAAATATTTGAACCTCAAACATAGGGATAATTGAGTATTTTATCAATCAGGTTGAGTACTGTGAACACTACCAACATGAACAAAATGCTTATACCAAATATTGCTATCTCTACTACGGTAGTTCTAGAAAATTATGCATAAAATTTACTTAGGGGATTATGGGCAACCTTTTTTTCCATTTTTATTAATGTTGGAGTGTTATATATATATTTTAATTCATAAAGCAATTTTTATAACAAATTAGTAATCAAAAATTTTATGAAGTGGTTCAAAATTCTTAAGACCTATAAATAGCTAACATTTAGTACTTGCTCTGTATGCCATCACAGTTCAAAGCACTTTTCACATTCTGCAACAATCTGATGAGATATCATTATCATCCTCATTTAACGGATGAGGGAACTGAGGCACACAAAAAATGCGTAATCTGCTCGGGGTTACATAGCTAATAGAGCTTCAGTTCAAATGCAGGCTGTCTGGTTCCAGAAACCATGTCCTTAACCTCTGTACCATACTGCCACTGAATTGCTCATGGACATAGATCTCTGCTGAATGGTTTCTAGGATACCTGTATATATTGATGAAATAACGCTGCAGAAACCATGAGTATATTATTTACTTTGATGTACTTCTGAAATAATAGCTTTATTACTTGAATTTAATTATGTAATTTGGCTCAGATCATTAAATGGCTTGGTTTCATATTTTCAAAATATTATTCATCCAGTTGAAAAAATTTTAAGGGTCTAAATTCTAATGAAATTTTAAAAGCTTGAAAATCAAGTATTAGTAAAAAGCAATTTTTAAAAAACTTTAAAGATCAGCTCACATTAACATGTTATTTTATGTTCAGCATATTCAAAAGAAAGCTGCAGAATGGAAAATCAAGATAGATATTATTGCAGGTAAGACAATTATGTTTCTTGTAAACAAATCTCAACCCTAATTACCTAAGAAGGCCAACAGGCATTAGCCTAACCAGAATTTTTACATGTGCTGAGGAAAGATATTGTAGAACATATATTTTAGTGTAGAACATATATTTTAGTGTGGCAAAATGTGTGTGGTTTGTAGTGGGTTGGAAATGGAGTAAAGGCAGGGTATCAGTGTTTGCCCAAGAGTGTCCCAATTTATGCATTTTACTGAAAACTTTTAATGGCACCCAAGTATTTGTTCTTTCCAGGCTGACAGAACCTTATAATCATCACAGTGACTTAAGAGCTTGGGCTTAGAGTTTGTCAGGCCTTAGTTTGAAATTAATTCCTGGAAAATACCACCAGATTATGCCTGGATTACCCTTCTATTTCAACTTTCTAATTGTCCCTGGAGTCAAATAACATAAAGCTTTTAATTTTTTTAGTGGGGAACAGAATATCATCATCCACATGATATAAATGTTTGATACATTTTTATTAGTAAACTGGATAATATTCACAAACATCAAAATGGGAAAAGCATGTAACTAGAAGCTAACTATAATCCAAGTAATTCTGAAAAGCCTGAAATAAGAGTACAATAAGGGGGAAATTATTTTACACAATAATCAACTGACTGGATTAGTACTAATAGTGTTAACCACATAACTAGATCTATTGCCTTCGTAATAATTAGTAATGTAATGTGTAAAAGTCTGTCTTCCTAGTATATTCAGTATTGTCACTCCTTACCTAGTTTAAGGTATTATAATATGTAACATGCAGACCTTACAACAGTTCCAGTAGTAGCACACCAGGCCAGAGCCTTGCTACTCCAAGTGTGGTCCTCAAATGTGGACCATCAGCATTGACATCCCTTGGGAGCTTGTCAGACTTGAAGAATTTCAGGCTGCACCCAGACCTACTGAATTATAATCTGCATTTGAACAGGATTTGATTTGATTTGAAGGTGATTTGATTGCACATTATAAGTTGAAAGCTGTGATTTAGAGAGAATTTGTTGCAAAATATGAAGCATAGGTAGGTAGACTTACTGCCATCCCTCTAAAGTTGATCAGTGCTAAGTTTTGAGAACCTACATTATCCTTTAGAAGAAAAGAATATGCAAAGTGGTTTTTCATTTGAGAGCTCAGTAGGAAAATAATTAGCTACTTACTACCATTATTAAAATCCAAACCGGAAATTTTAAAAATAAGCATGGTTGTGCAATTGGTAGCTATAGATTATTTAGGAAATTAAAAATAGGAAGATACTATCATATTTTCATGGGATACACTTTGACCACTTGTTAACCTTCTATACTCTTCCCAATAATCTCAAATTTTGATATAAATGACCAAAACAAATGCCAGGCTGTTTGCCATGGCTTATTGTGGGGATATATCAAATCAGTCCTAGATAAATTAAGTGACACCTCTGAAATGTTTGGCTTATCAGCATTTAGTACTTCCTTAATTTTTTTCTTTTTTTTTTTTAAGTCAAGGGCGGTAAATGTTTGGAAGTATAATTTTTACCCTTAGGTGGCTTTTGTTTTGTAGAGCTACGATATGACCTGCCGGCATCATACAAGTTTCATAAAAGAAAATCAGTAAGTCTCTTGATTCTAGTTTATCTACATTCACTACTGAAAAACTTCACAGTAAGTAATTATTTCTAATGTTATCAAGTTGTTTGAGTGAATACAGAAAGCCAGCCTAGAAGATAAACACTTAACTCTGGAATGGGCCTATAACCACAACAGCCAATATACTGGTTTAAGATAAATTCTCAAATACTTTGGGCACAAAAATAAAAAATAAACCGATTTTATTTCTATGCAGTATACATTTTATTACTTTGTACTAATACATTCTCATATTACAAAGGCAATTTAGTGGAAGAATGTTTCTTTTGATACTTGAACAATTTGAAAGAACACAAACAGAATTATACATAAAAAAATACTCATTTTGATAACAATAACAAAAAAAGACAAGTTAAACAACAAAAAAATTTTCCTTTCTTACAGATGGACATTGAAGTGGACCTAATTCGGTTTTCTTTTTAAAAGCCTCCAGAGACAAAAGCAGCTTAAAATCTAATTAAAATGAATAAAAAATGTTTACTAAATTACTGGTCTCCGGCACCATTTTCTGTTTTCTGTTGTTTTGATGCAGGTTCTTCTATGTCTGTTTCTTCTCTTGCTCTTTTTACTGGTCCTATACAATGACAATTAATTTTCATTAAGTTCACTGTAAGCGTTACTCTATTTTAATACTAAGCATAACTACAAAAAATAATTGTTTAAACAGATTAGCAACAACTTTCCTACACCAATAAGAAAACGCTTTTCCTTTAGTACGGACCTGGCTCTCTAAACTTAGCTTCCCAACATCTTTGTTTTCCACATGTAAAATAGCATAACCAGGGTCAATTACAATCTGAGAACATCACTTACACAGAAGTTGTAAAACCACATTGCTGTTCTCTCCCACAAATAATTTCTCATCAAAGTACCAAGGGACTTGAAAAAACTTACTGGATGCACCATTTTCATCATGTTCATCATCACTGTCAAATTTAGTTTTCTTGCCCTGAAACTGTACTTTTCCTTTAGCAGACCCAATCTGGGCAGCTTTATTTCCCTTTCCTTTTCCTTTAAATCTGCGACCTGTAGAGACAAAATTGAGAAATCCATAATGTTTTAAACCTCTCATCAATGTCTTTTACCACCAATTAAAATTTTTACCCAAGCAAATGAGTTAAATACTCAAAGAAAACCAGAATTAATGACCTTTCGACTTCCATTTGTTTAGAGATTCTTGTTGATCTTCTATTATTTTTTTCAACGCTTCTTTTTCCACATCTCCTTCTAGTACTTCCCAGGTGACCTCTTTGTTCCTTAATTGTAGGTTACCATTATTTGCGTCTTTTGCTTTATCCAGTGCTTCCTTAGCTTTTTCTTTAAACAGAATTATTACCTACACCAAAGACAGAAAACAAAGGCCAGGGAATTTTACTGAACATCAGGAAGTTCTTAAAAAACTTGAAGTCACTAATTCCAACAGTTATTTATAGCACAATTCAGAAAATATCAGACATCACATCCAGTTACAGCAATAATAAAAGTAAATGACCAAGTAGAAACTATTTTCATAAACATACTAACAAAAAATTGCTTTCTTCTACTAATGTCATCTTCTAAAAGATAAGTTTCTATGAATTTTTAAACTGAGTGGTTAAAAGCATATGAATATTTTCAAACCTCTTTGGCTCCTCTGACAAAGTCTATCCATTTTATTTCACCATGATTTGAGAAAAGGATATGCAAATCTTCTCTACACGTCTGATCATCTAAGTCCCCCGAGAATCTCAGCAAGCAGCCAATCTTTTCTTCTAGAGATTTCTATAAAAATATATAAGGTGATAAAAGTTTCTTAAAAGCAACCACAAACCAGAAATGGCATATACCTCTCTCTCTCTCCTCTCTCTCTCTATATATATACATACAAGGAATAAGCTAGAAACTAAAATGCTATTTTCAAGTAGTATAAGTTTAAATAGTTTAAGTAGTTGGTGCATTTTCCTTTATCATCCTTTGTTCTACAATGGCTTCTGATTTTAACTTCTCCAGCAAATAACAGTTATTATATAAATCTTACTGTGCTGAATAAGTAATAATTTTAGGCAATATTTGGCTAGTAATTCAGTGCTATGACAACTGTAGACTTGCTTACATATGTTCTTTAAAAAGTCCCCAGGTTTTTTATTCTAAATTTGAATTACAGATTTCTTAGTAATATATACGTACCATTTCAGCATTTTCTGCTAACTTTTGTTTTTCTTCTTGCTCTCTACAAGTAAAAATATCATTAGAACGTTTCCATTTACTTCATGTATGAGAAAATTAAACCCTGATAAAGTTAACCTTAAGCATGATGACTAAACTACTTAATAACCAAAGCCAGTCCTTAGGCTTTCTGACTGATGCTAGAGTGCAACACAATGTGGCCCCAAGATTATCAAGGCAGCTTAAGACCTCAATGTTTCATTAGCAAAAGAAAGGCCTACTGTACTCATTTCAGAGCTCATCATCAGCCTCACTTCCCAGAACCAATAACTTTACCTGTCAAAGCTTTAAGGAACTAAAATGTTATGATTAGCTCAACATACTTACTGTTTAGCTCGTAATTTAGCTTCGATTTTATTTTGCTTTCTTTCTTCATTTTTTTTTGCAAAGTAATCTTCCCTGAAGGACACAAAATATAAAGGCAAAGTTCATGAGAACAAAGAGGACTGCAAATTATATTGAATGATTTAAGACATCGCACAAGAATTAATGTTACATTCTCTATCAACAAAATTACCTATAAATTCAAAATACATTAAGGAAGTCACTCATTTTTTAAAATAACAGCTTTACTAAGAAAGAATTCACATGCCATAAAATTCATTCTTTTAAAGCATATAATTCAATGACTTTTAGTATATTAAGAATTGTACAACAATCATCACTACTAATGAATTTCAGAACATTTTCATCACCACAAAAAAGAAACCCTATATTCGCTAAGAATCTCATGCTGATTTTCATTTTTCATGTATAGAAAACAGAAAGTATACCAAAAGTTATGCAACTACTTTGCTTCATAGTTTTTTAGTGTTAATTTCACAAAAGCAAAAATTCTGAAATCCCTGAGACCAAGAATAAGAGCAATTATGAAAATCACAAGTTAAAAAAATCTTTCTGAGAGTTTAACACTGACAGTTTGATTTATCACTGTGCATCTCTAAGTCCATCAGACTTAGTATACAGCATTTAGGAGACTGTGCAATGCAAAAGTAGGGGATTATGGCCCTACAACCATATCATGAAAATGTCCTGGTTTGTCCTAATTTTTAGACACACACACAGGTGCGCACACACACACACACCAAGAATGTGATTCAAATCTCTATTAAATAATCCTTTGTACTGTATAAAAATACAGGCATATATAGATTATGAGAATAGATAAAAAAATTGTACAGTGATTTATTCTCTAACCACACCAAAAGTTCAGATTTTAGCATCAAGCCTAACTATAAGTTTCACATGCAAAGTAAGTACTAAAGCTTAACTTCCCTTATTACGTGCTTGAAAAGGTCCTAACACTTCCTTACAGTCTCAAAGGACTAGTAGTTCCAGAGCAAACTTCAAGCATTTCTCAAAGGATGCCTAAGGATACTAAAAATACTGGTCTTACTGTAGGGAATGTTATGCTATACTCCTTACCCCAGTGTGTCAATTCCAGACAACTAAGTGGCCAAAAAAAAAAAAAAACATCAAGTTGACTTACTTGAAAAGTATTAGCAGGTCTGTGTCTTTGTACTTCTGGCCAGTGGTCTCAACAAACTTCTTAGCAGATTCAATGGTATCAAATACAGCAAATATTGATCCCTATTAGAAGTGGAAGAAAAGTTGGGTTTTTTTTTTTTTGTTACATCCCAAGTATTTTTCTACTAGAAAAAGTCTTTTACATCATACAACCATACCTTAAATGCTTTGTGCAATGTTCTTCTCATCTGAATATTTAGTACCTGACCTTTATCTTCCAACCATTCTTTTATGTCATCAAGGGTTGCATCAATTGGGAAGCCTTTCTGTGAAGAGTAGGAAGAAATGTACAAATGACAACTCAAGTAAACGATTTGTCAGAAATTCTGATTTATTGTGTCTTGAAATGAAGCGAGGATATATATATCTCTCTTTCTCTGTCTCTTAAATGTTTAATAGCTCTGGTTAAGAGCTACTGTTGACCAGTGCAAGAGAAGTGACTCGTTTATCTGGGATTCACTTCAAAATAATCCAGATAGGCCAAAGATAAAACAAGATTAATCACGTTAGTAACTGCTGAAGTTGGATAATAGTACATTATATATTCAATCTACTTCTGTATGTCTGAATTTTTGCAGAATAAAATAATCTACTTAAAAATTAATGTGCTAAAGAAAACAGCTAACAAGTTTAGCTGTTGATAAGTAAGAACAGTTGATGTGCACTGGGTACTTACAATATGTATGTCAAAGATTTTGCCCAATGTTATATGGGTTTTTTCATTTAATTCTCACAATAGTTCTATAAGGTAAAAAATATTATCCCCATTTATGAAGATAAAGCTTACAGAGGCTAAGAATATTGCCCAAGGATATACAGTAAGTGGTGAAGCTATGATTCCTGAGCCCTTATTCTTATCCACCCTATGTGCTTTCTAAATAAATTTAAGATATAATTAAATGCATTAAAGGCCCACTTACAATATAAACAGATCTGTTTTTTACATCATTTTTATACTCATCAGTCACTTCAGGGAGGGGTTTGCTTGGAGATCTTCTAATTTTAGTTTTATCTTCACTTATTTCCATAAGTTCCGCCTTTGATTTGCTCAATGCTTCTACTATTACATTAAAGTCTGTTGTTAGCCGGTTTAACCTGCAAAAATATATATATAAAAGCATTGTAAAACTTAGTAGTAGCACCTGCTGTTAGCAGAAAATCTTATAATTTAAAAAAGGTTTTTACCTATTAAATTTTATCATTATCTCCAAAGGTACCCAGCCTTCATCCAGTTTGATCTGTTCCTTTAAAAATTTGTCACGTGGCAAATTGAAGTCACCAAAATAATACTGCAAGATAATTACAGTATATTGCAGAGCACTGTATAATATTAAGTATAAAAAATTACCATTACATCACCAAGTTCTAGTCTTTAAAAATACATGTCAAAACTTAACTGGTGGGACTTCCCTGGTGGTCAGTGGGTAAGACTCCACGTTCCCCATGCAGGGGGCCCAGGTTCAATCCCTGGTCGGGGAACTAGATCCCACAGGCATGCCACAACTAAGAAGTCCCCATGCCACAACTAAGACCTGGGACAGCCAAAATAAATAAATATTAAAAAAAAAAAACAAAACTTAACTGGCAATAAACATTTTCTCTTAAATACACTGTAATATTTATAATACATATTAACAGAAAGATAAAACTAAAAATAATTATTGAAACAATATATTTAGCAGATGTGACAATAGATAAGAAAGCCTTAAAACAAAAACATATTTAAGGATTTGGTATATGAAAAGCCTCT